ACCCGTGGGCTCAGGCAATCCACTCACCTCAGCCTCCCAAAGGCGCGGGATGACAGGCTGAGCTACCGAGCCCGGCGTGACTTACATTTTTATTCGCATCTCAAGAACCCAGGAGGGTCTTCTCCATCTGGCGTGAGGGGCACACACGTGTGTTCCGTCACCCTCCCCTGCTCCCCCCACTGGCCTCGCTGCCTGGCACTCCTTCCCTGCATAAGAGCCCGCCTTTCAGACGGGTGAACTGGAACCCAGAGCGCCTGAGCCACCTGCTGGAGGCTTTGCACAGAGCAGGGCTGACTCAGAGCCCAGCTTCCGCTGTAGCCTGCAGGCTTACCTACCTCCAAGCCCAAGCGCTGCTGCGGTCCCGGGATCCAGGCCCACCCAGACTTCAGCCCCCACGGAGGGCATGACCAATCAGGCTTCAAGGCGGTCCACAGCCAGTGCCTGCCATCTGGGTTCAAGCTTGGCACGGTGACCCCGCACGCGACACATGCTGGCCAGCGGACAAAGCACCTCGAGCCCAGGCCGCCGGCCAAGCCCGGCCAGAGGAGCTGACACACTGGGAAGAACCACGGGACGGAAGCTGCTGCGCATTTCAGCCCCTCCAGTACACGAGGAAGTTTTACAAGTGGGTCTCAGATGAAGACACTGATCTCTAGAACCTTCTACTAAAGCGGCACTTCTGAGGCCCAAGGCTGGTGGCTTGGGTCCCAGCTCTACGTGGCCTTGAAGTGAGAGCTGCCCTCCCAACGGAGTGCTCTCTTGGCGTCAGGAGAATACAAATCACAGAATTTGCCATCTTAACCCCTTTTAGGAGCATAGTCCAGTGGCATGAAGTGTGTTCACATGCTGAGCAACCATGAGCGCCGTCCGTCTCCAGAGCTTTTGCCCTCACCCAGAACAGAAGCCTCACTCTGTATTAAGTACTCAGTCTTTCTCCCAGCCCTGCCACCCCCTTTCTACTTTCAGTCTCTGTGAATTGACGAAAGTGGGATCTGACAATGTTTGTCTTGTGACAGACTTATTTCCCTAAAGCAATGCCCCCCAGGTCCGCCCATGCTGTGGCGTGTGTCAGCACATCTTTCCTTTGGAGGCTGAGTGATATTCCACTGTGTGTATGTGCCACATGGCGTCCATCCACTCTTCCATCAGAGGACACGTAGGGGTTTCCACCCTTGGCGACTGTGACGCCTGCTGCCGTGAACATGGCTGTGCACATATCTGTTGGCGTCCCTGCTTCCCCCTCCTGTGGGTCTGCGCCAAGCGGCAGCACTGCTGGGTCGCATGGGGGTTATATGTTCCGTTTCCAAGGTGTCGCCACGTGGCTTTCTCCAGTGGTTGCCTCATGGGATGCTCCTGCCAGCGGGTCCAAGGACTCCAAACTTCCAGTGTCCCCACCACACTGGTTTGGGCTCAGGACTTTCCCAGACCCTTCGTGAGGCCCAGTGGGCACCTACCCTGTGGCTGAGTGGGTTTTAACCCTGTCGTGTTCACGGACGTTCTTCCTGAGGCGGCTGGGCAGGGCCCCAGTGAGGCGTGTCCACGCTGATGCTGTTGCTCTCCCTCCCACAGTGGATGTCCCTGCAAGACCTTCTGTCCCAGCTGGGCCGGCCCTTCCGGGAGTATGAGCTGTGGGCCCTGTGCCTCGCCTGCCTCAGCGCGCTGCAGACACATCCCAAGCACCCAGGTGACCCGTCCCCTTTGCTGTCCTGCGTGTAACCAGACCCACCTGCGCCGAGGGACCCAGGGCAGCCGGGAGCAGTGTCCACACGGCTTGGCCATTCGGGGCCCCCGGGGGGCGTCTGCCCCCTGCGGCACTGAGGGAGCCAGGAAGGGGTGGGGAGAGGGTGGATGCAATCAAAGTGGGCCTCAAAACCAAGGACCCTGCTGTAAAGAGGAACAGGCACCACACCAGGGGTCCAGCCCACAGTTGTCAGCACAGTGATATTGTCCCCAAGGAGGTAAAAATTGACTTGGGAAGGTGTGGAAGACCCTCAGAGCTTGTACCAGTCTGTGGCCCAAAAGCTTGAACTTGCCAGCCAGCAGGACAGACGGACGGTCCCCCTGTGATATCAGAATGCCCGGGGGTGGTGAGGACAGTGCCTGTAAGAGCTGGGGGAGGGCCAAGAGGCACTGTGTAGCATTCCTTCGTGTGGGCCCACAGCCACCCCTCAGACCTTTGACCTGGGGCCAGACTGGCAACACACAGGGGAGCAGCTGGCCGGGGCCAGCCTCCTCAGACCCACTGCTCCTGGCACAGCTCCCTGCACACAGGCTGCCCAGCCCTCCTCTCTGTTCAGCTCCTGCTCACTCCCCGCCCGGTGTGTTGGATGCAGCCGCATAGTGACGCCGAGGCCGCATGGCCTAAGGGTGGAAGGGGCAACTCAGAGGGGCCTGGAGCTGTGGGGCAGACAGGGCACATCCCTGAGTGGGCGCGGGGGGAAGGGATGGAGAAGGGGAGGGACTGCCTGGCCCGCCCAAGAGGACGGGGATGCTGTGCCTGCTCCTGACCTTCCCTCCGTTGCAGCCTACCTATGCCTGGACTCCGTGCTGGTCGCCGAGGACGGGGCTGTGCTCTTCGGGCCACCTCCTGCCAACGGTGGGTATCAGGGTCCCTCTCGGGAGCCAAGTTCCAGCATCAGCTTATCGGGGATGACAGGAAAGCTAAGCCGGGGTTTCTCTCTTAGGCTCTTACAACTCATTCTTTCTGGCTCCGGAGGTGGCAGAGGAAAGACTGGTCACCGAAAAGGTAACTGGGCCCTCCCCACCTTCTTGAGGCCGCCTGTCCCCCCAGTCCTCGGGAGTGCCCGTGTCCCCCGTCTGTCCAGTGGCCTGGTCTTGGGACTCAAGGGAGTCACAGCAGGTCTCCAGCGCCTCGGCCCCACTTGGCCAGGCAGCCATGGGCAGTGTCCAGCCAGCCAGGCTGGGGCTATGACTGGGGCGTCCGGACAGGGCTCTGCCTGGACAGCTGTGGCCATGTGTCCTGCAGCCACCCTCCGGGCTCACGAGAAGCAAGGGCTAAACTTCCAGAAATATTTGCAAGATGCTTGTTAAACACCGCCACTAGTTAACATTAAATTACTCAAATTTTAAATGCAATTAAAGAAGTCGTTCCAAGCCAAAGTAGAACTCCCACTCTGGGCAGATGGAGACAGGCACTTCCCTGCTCCTCCCTCTGAGCCAGCTAAACACCCTGAATGAAATAAACACCCGAAGATCCGTGGAGGAGGAGAAGGCAGTGCCCTGAGTGCTCTAGGCCATCATTTTGCATCAGATATCAAGACATGGAGCTAAGGCCTGCAACGGGCAGAAACCAGTGGGCACAGACCAAAAAAAAGAGAAAGAAACCCCAACAAAGCCTGGTCTCTGCGAGCCAAGAGACCAGGAAGGAGTCGACATTAACTGCCCTACTCTAGTCGAATACCACAGAAAACACTGTGGTTCACTCAGGCCAACAGAAACTGAGCGTGGAACCTGGACTTGCCCTTGTGAGGCCAGGCACAGTGGCCCGTGCCTGTAATCCCAGCACTTTGCGGAGGCCAAGGTGGAAGGACTGCTGGAGCCCGAGAGATCAAGATCAGCCTAGACAACATAGCAAAACCTCATCTCTACAAAAAAATCAGAAAAGTTATCCAGGAGTGGTGGTGCGTGCCTATAGTTCCAGCTACTTGGGAGACTGAGGCAGAAGGACCGCCTGAACCCAGGAGGTCGAGACTGCTCTGATCTGTGATTGTACCACTGCATTCCAACCTGGATGACAGTGAGTTGACCCCAACTCAAAAACAAACAAACAAACAAACAAAAAAACGTGCCCAACGTCTGCCCCAGCCCCGGGTGGCATCGGAGGTGAAACAGGAACAAGGATTTTCATTCTCACCAAGCAGTTCCGAGGATCCGGCCCACGATGTCGGTGGAGACCGCCTGAGGAGTAACGAGGTAGCCCTCTAGCAATGTCAGAGCAGGCCTCGGGGGAACAGAAGTGAAGCCATCCCTACAAGGGTGTGAACAGAGGCACTCCCGCTCTCCAGCCAGGGTTCACGCCATACAGCAATGAGGAGAAGAAACTCACTCCTTGTGTGTCAGTGGGGTCACTGCCTGAACTTCTGTTCCCACCAGGAAATAACAAAGCTGTGTCCCCCTTCCTCTGCAGAGTGGCATAGGAGAAAGAAAAAGAAAAGTGGAGGTTGCAGATTGAGATAAGATCTAGAGTCATCTAACATGAAAATGTCCCAGTTTCTACTGAAGATCACTTGCCATACCAAGAACCAGGAAGATCTCACCCTGAATGAAAAGAGGCAACCGATAGGTGCCAGCCCTGACATGAACGAAATGTGAAAAATAAAAAGATTTTAAGGCAACCATCATAAAAACGCTTTAATAGACAATCAAAAACATGCTTGGGACAAATGAAAAATAGATAAACCTACAGATTTAAGAAGCTGGAAAAGCCCCAAATATAAATTCAAAGAAATCCACACCAAAACACATCATAGTCAAACCTCTGAATACTAAAGACTCTCCAAGAAAAAGAAGAAAAGAGAAGCAGCAGCTTACATACACACATAGAAGGGGAAAAACAGTTCAAATGGCTGCAGCCTTCTCATCAGAAGCCAGAGAGTCTAGGAGGACATGCACATTTTTCAAATTCTAAGAGAACTATAATCCAGAATTCTATATCCGGCAAAAATACCCTTCAGAGATTAAGAAAATATCAATATAGCCTCAGATTAAGGGAAACTAAGAATTTGTCACCCGCACATCTATTCTAAAATAATAGCTCATGGAAATTCTTTAAGCAGAAAAGAAAAAAATCAAAGAAGGAATATTAAAATATCAAGAAGGAAGAAAGAACATACTACGCAAAAAGATATGGGTAAATACAATAAAATTTTCTTTCTCTTCTTGAGCATTCTAAATTATGTTTGATGGTCAAGGTAAAATTTACAACAACTTGACATGGCTCTAAATGTATATAAAGGAGATATTTTAAATAATTATGTTATAAATGGGGAAAAGTGACAGGACATAAGTAAGGTTTCTACACCTCAAACTGGTAAATATTGACACCTGTTGACTGTGATAAGTTATGCATATATATAGAATAGTATTTAGAGCAACCACAAAAACAATAACTATACACTACACAAAGCGATCACTCAAAAATACTATCTATAAATGAAAATGGAATTCTTGTGTGTGTGTGTGTGTGTGTGTGTGTGTGTGTGTGTGTGTGTATGTCAGAGTCTAACTCTGTCCCCCAGGCTGGAGTGCAGTGGCATGCTCACGTCCAACACAGCCTTGACCTGCTGGGCTCAGACAATCCTTCTGCATCAGCCTTCCAGGTTCAATATATTTTGCGCACTGGTGTGCGCAACTATGCCCAGGCTAATTTTTTATATTATTGTAGAGATGAGGTCTCACCATGTTGCTCAGCTGGTCTTGGGCCCCTGAGTTCAGGCAGTTCTCTCGTCTCTGCCTCTCAAAGTGCTGGGATTATAGGCATGTGCCACCATGCCAAGCCAAAATGGACTTATAAAATGATGTTCAAGTAACCCGCAGGAAAGAAGGGGAAAAAAGCAGAGAAACTAAAAAACAGAACAAACAAAACAAAAAATAAGTGGCAGACTTAAGCTCTAACATATCAATTATTACATTAAATATAAATGATCTAAATATACTAATTAAAAGAAAGAGATTGACAGAGTGATTTTAAAAAATGACCCAACCATGTACTGTCTACAAGAAACTCACTTCAAACAAAATAAGTAGGTTGAAAGTAAAAAAGATTGGAAGAGATATATTATGCAAGCATAAATAAACCAGGAATGACTACGTTAATATCAGATCAAGTATACTTCAGAGCAAAGAAAATTATCAAAGACAAAGAGGGCATTCTATAACAGCAAAGGGCCAATACACCAAGAAGATGGCAATCCTAAATGTATATGCACCAAGTGACAGAGCTGTAGAATATGTGAAGCAAAACTGATAGAATTAAGGGAGAAAGAGACAAATTCATGATTATAATTGGAGACTTCAATATTTCTCTCTCAACAATTGATAGAACAATTAGGTTGCAAACCAGTAAAAATATAGAGGAACTCAACACCACCATCAACCATTAAGATCTAATCAACATTTAAAGAACACTTCATCCAACAAAAGCAGAATACACATTCTTTTCAAGTGCCAGTGAATATACATCAAGATAGACCATATCCTGTGCCATAACACAAACCTCAGCAAATTTAAAAGAATTTAAATCAGCCAGGCCCAGGCACAGTGGTGGCTCAAGCCTGTAGTCCCAGCACTTTGGGAGGCGGAGGTGAGAGGATTGCCTGAGCTCAGGGGATCGAGACCAGCCTGAGAAACATGGCAAGACCTCATCTCTAAATAAAAACAATAAAAACTAGCCAGGCGTGGAGGCACATGCCTGTGGTTCCAGCTACTTGGAAGGCTGAGGTGGAAGGATTGCCTGAGCCCAGCAAGTTGAGGCTGCGGGGGGCTGTGAGCATGCCACTGCACTCTAGCCTGGGTGACAGCGTGAGACTCCAACTCAAGATAAATAGATAGATAGATAGATAGATAGATAGATAGATAGATAGATAGATAGATAAATTTAAATCATACAGATGTGTTCTCTGACAACCGTAATAGAAAAATAAAAGGCAGTTGTTCCAAACACTTGGAAACTAAACAACGCATTTCTACATAATCAATATGTCACAGAGGAAGTCTCAAGGAAGCTTTTAAACTATATTGAACTTAGTGAAAGTGAAAATGCAGCACACATTGTATCAGGATTTTTTTGTGTCAGTGCCAATCGGCTGGCTGTGATATTGTACGACAGTTTTGCTAGCTGCTACTCTTCCAGAAACTAAGTACAGGGTACACAGGATCTCTCTGTGTTAATTTATACAACTGTATGTCAGTCTACAATTATCTCAAAATAAAGGCTTTATTTTTATTTAGTTAGTTATTTTTGGGTTGGAGTCTTGCCGCATCACTCAGCCTGAAGTGCAGTGGCACTCTCATGGCCACCCCAGCATCGACCTGCTGGACTCTGGAATTCCTTCTACCTCAGCCTTCCAAATAGCCGAAACTACAGGTGTGCGCTACCACACCCGGCTAATTTTTTTTTTTTTTTTTTTTGATTGTAGAGACAAGGCCTCACCCAGTTACCCTGGCTGGCCTCGAATCCCCGGGCTCAGGCAATGCACTCGCCTCGGCCTCCCAAAGTGCTGGGATTACAGGCTGAGCCACCAAGCCTGGCCAAAAGCTACTTGGAAAGCTGAGGCAGAAGGATCGCCAGAGCCCAGCAGGTCGAGGCTGTGGTGGCCGTGAGCGTGCCATTGTACTCCAGCTTGGGTGACAGAGTGAGACTCCAACTCAAAAAAAAAAAAAAAAGTTTAATAAGCACTCAAAACAAATAATTTCCTCTTGTTACATAGTCTACTATTATCTCTGCTCGTGAGGCTATCTGTGTGTCTGTCTGGATGGTAGAAACTAGGAAGGTGAGCCGCCCTGCCCTGCTTCCCAACTCCAAGATCATTGGCACCACATGGGTAGCTGGAGGTCAGCCATGCAGGAGTATTTACACCATGGAAACTGGCAGATGCTACAAATGAGTTGTTTTGTTGACTGTCTAGATTTAATGCAGCAATGGAGAAAATGTTAACACTGCATTGAACTTGAAAGTGTGTCCTGCCTGTAGCTGCTACGTTGTGTATATAGTACAAAAGCTTGAGGAAACACTTGTCCAGCAAAGACACTGCATAGAATGAAGCCTAGAATTCCAATGTGGGTCTTTCTTGTTTCACTTTCATCTTACTTATTGCTTCAATAATCATGAAAGTAAATGAACCTCAACCAACACTCATGTCAGAAGCAGTCATTCATTATAGGTTGACTGTGGATGCGCTGGGGAACAATCAATGAAAGTATTCAGTGAGAATCAATTGGCTCAGTGGGACTTACAGAAAATATTATATTAAATTGTGTGCGGCACATCCCTTATATCAGCAAAATTCCTGGTGAACTTCTGTGTGTAGCTAGAGGCGTGCACTGTTGCTCAGAGAGCCAGTTGTTACCATTTAGCAGCACAGCACGGGTTGGAGAGAGTCCCAGGAACTGAGTCCTTTCGGTGGTGAGCGAACCAGGTAGCTCTCAAAGTCCCAAGTTGCTGCCTTTGTGAGGTTGGAAGATGGAAAAGTCCAGCTGAGGCGTCTCACAGTTGACTGTTTAAAACCCAAACCGCAGCCGGGCTCGGTGGCCCAGCCTGTAATCCCGCGCCTTTGGGAGGCTGAGGTGAGTGGATTGCCTGAGCCCGCGGGTTAGAGACCCGCCTGGGCAGGCAAGACCTCATCTCTACCATAAATCAAAAAACACTAGCCGGGCGTGGTAGCGTGCACCTGTAGTTCCAGCTACTTGGAAGACTGAGGCGGAAGGATCGCCGGAGCCCAGCGGGTCGAGGCTGCGGTGGCCGGGAGCGGCCACTGCACTCCAGTCTGGGCGACAGAGTGAGACTCCAACTCAAAAATAAATAAATAAATAAAATAAACAAAACCCAAACAGCCGGGCTCAGTGGCTCAGCCTATAATCCCGTGCTTTGAGAGGCCGAGGTGAGTGGATTGCCTGAGCCCGCAGGTTCGAGACCCGCCTGGGCAACTTGGCGAGACCTCATCTCTACAATAAATCAAAAAATCAGCCGGGCATGGTAGCACGCGCCTGTAGTTCCAGCTACTTGGAAGGCTGAGGCGGAAGTATCGCCGGAGCCCAGCAGGTCGAGGCTGCGGTGACTGGGAGCAAACACTGCACTCCAGGCTGGGCGACAGAGTGAGACTCCAACTCAAAAAAAAAAAAAAAAACCAAACAGATGGCTTGAGCCCAGAAGTTTGAGAGAGCCTGAGCAACACGCGGCAAGACCATGTCTCTATTTTTAAAAAGTTAAAAATTAGCTAACCATGGTGGTGTGTACCTGTAGTCCCAGCTACTCGGGAGGCTGATGGGGGAGGACCAGGGACCTGGGTCCAGGCTGCAGTGAATTAGCCTGGATGACAGAGCAAGACCCTATCTTTAAAATAAAAAAAATAAAAAAAAAAAGCCAGGTGCAGTGACTCAGGCCTGTAATCCCAGCACTTTTGAGAGACCGAGGCAAGAGGATTGCCTGAGCTCAGGGGTTCAAGACCAGCCTTGACAACTTGGTGAGACCTCGTCTCTACAGTAAATCAAAAAACAAGCTGGGCGTGGTGGCTTGTGCCTGTAGTTCCAGCTACTCGGAAGGCCGAGACGGAAGGATCGCCGGAGCCCAGCAGGTTGAGGCTGCAGTGGCTGGGAGCGGCCACTGCACTCCAGTCTGGGCGACAGAGTGAGACTCCAACTCAAAAAAAAAAATTAACTCAGAATCAATGAGAGGATTAAACATGCAGATTTCTAGGCCGTGTCCCTGGGTTCTGATGGGGGGATCTGAGGTCTACCAGACTCGGAGGTGATGGGGAGTGTTGTGAGAAGAGCCACTCTGCAGGGGCTGGACCTGGGTATCCCTAGGGGTTCCCTGCGGGCGGGGCAGGTCTCCTGAGCACAGCAGCCGTGTGGTCCGGCTGGCAACGCCCCTGTTCTCTCTCCACTCCCGCCAGGCCTCCGTGTACTGTGTAGCTGCTGTCCTGTGGACTGCAGCCAAGTTCAGTGTCCCCCGTGACCGCAAGCTGGCCCTGCCGCGCAGGCTCAAGACCCTCCTCCTGGACATGGCCAGGCGCAGCGCCCCGGAGCGGCCATCCGCAGCTGAAGCCATCCAGGTAAGCACCCTGCTGCTGCGGCCCCATCTCACAGCCCGAGGACCTTGGGTGGCGACCACCATCGCGGAGCTGGGCCTGCAGGTCTTTGTTTCTGAGAAAAGTTGGCTGGGCCGCCGGGCAGGGAAGGGAGTGGGTTTCTTTTCAAGCTGTGTCCACGTGGGCAGGCAGTGTGGGGCCATTCCCCGTGGGGCATCCTGATTTCTCCAGTGTGTCCCAGAGGCCAGAAGGCGGGCAGGGTGTCTTAGGGCCCTGTGCTAACTCCTGCCTTTAGGGGAACAGAGAACGCACCACACCCGGACTTCCCTGCGTCACCTGCAGCCTCCAGCCACCTCTGAGGGTACCCCAGCCTTGCCCCTCCCTCCTCGAGGCGGGGTTCCAGCCATCCTCCTGCGGGGACTTAGGCCACACCCAGCAGGCGGACCAGATGACTGTTCCCTAGAAGCCCCACCTTTTGCTCCGGTGAGCAAGAGGATGCAGGACCTTCTGGAAGGAGAGCCACGTGGGAGGGGGCAGGAAGGAGCTGTGCAGGTGGGGACCTGGGTCCAACACTCTCTGCCCTGATGCTCTGTGATGTCGGACAGGTTGCTCAGCGCCTCAGAGTCTCTGGGGTCTCCTCTGCCGTGTGAGGGTGAGATTTAGTTACAACATTCATAAAGTGGTGAAAAGAGGCTTCATTTGGTAATCACAGGAAGTCTGCAGGCATGCCTGGGCCTTACAGAGGGAGAAAAGAGCAGGGAAGCAGAGTGCAGGGGCTCAGGTGCACATGACAGGGCTGGTCAGCATCCTCGCCACGAGGCTGTTGGGTCTGCCACCAACATCATCCAGTTTGGGCCTCTAGGCCCGGCTCGGTGGCTCAGCCTGTCATCCCAGCACTTTAAGAGGCCAAGGTGAGTGGATTGCCTGAGCCTGCGGGTTCGAGACCCACCCAGGGAACTTGGCGAGACCTCGTCTCTACAAAAAATCAAAAAATCAGCCGGGCGTGGTAGCATGCACCTGTAGTTCCGGCTATTCGGAAGGCTGAGGCAGAAGGATCGCCAGAGCCCAGCAGGTCAAGGCTGCGATGGCCGGGAGCGGCCACTGCACTCCAGTCTGGGCGACAGAGTGAGACTCCAACTCAAAGAAAAAAAGTTTGGGCTTCTGCCCCCTACAGAGCCTGGGGGACAAAGGCCACTAGCGAGCCCTTTCCAGGAAACGCCCTCAGAAAGGATGGTCAGGGCTTGTCAGGCATCTGCCAGAGCAAACAACATGTTCTTTTGACGGCCCTGAGGTTTTTCAGACAGAAACCGGATGCCATGGAGCTGGTGCGTCCTTCGCCAGACGTGTGGCCTCTCTCTTTTCCAGGTGTGTGGCAGTTACCTCCTCCAGCGAGGTATGGACAGCAGAAAGATTCTCGCCCACCTGCGGGTGTCCACCTGTAAGGTAGGACGGCATCCCCACAGCCAGAGCTGACCTTTTGCTCTGCCTTCTTCACTCCTGTCTCTGTAAACCCACTAGCTGGGTCCCACCCTGCAGCCGTGTTTCTGTGGACCACCCTGCTGTGGCATCTGCTCTCAGGTCCCGTATCTGGAGGGTTCTGCTGTTACCCTCAGTATCAGGCAGTGTCTGTTGGCCTCCTGGCCATGCTGTCCGGGACTGGCTGGATCAGGATCAGGGCCCAGGGCCCAGGGCCGGCAGATGGACACCACCCGCCCAGGGCACTGGACTCCCCAGCACACCTTGGGAGCTTGGGTCCTGGTCTCAGGTGATGCCATCACCTTCCTGATCCCCGGAACTGGTTGAAACCTTGTTGAATGGGCAGTAAAGGAGACCTTAACGGCTCCTCCCAAGCAAAACCACATCCACTGCAGACCCTAGGGGTGGCACCCATGCCAGGCTCCTCCCTGGCTTCACGGGGCATCTGTGAGGGGAGGGGATGCACTGTGGGTGGCACACGCTGGCAGAGCAGGTGTCCACTCCACCTCTGGAGCCTCTGCTGTTACCTGGTCCAGGGCCCTTGTCCTTTCTTCCCAGGTTTACCAGGAAGAAGAGGCCATCGGTCTCCAAAGCGCTTTCTCGGTGAAACCCTGCGTGGCATCTGCTCCAGAGCCCAGCCCAGGTGGGCTCCACCCCCCCGGCCACCCCTCGGCCCCTCCTGCCCCCGCGGCCCCCACAGCCCACACCACGGCTTCCCTCTCATCCGAACCGGACGGAGCGTGCCCAGAGCTCGGCCAGCCGGGCCCCAGACCTACCCCGAGTCTACCATCCACTGTCACTCTCCGCTCACGGGGAGCTCCGACCCTGGCTCCACGCCATGCCCCTCCTAAGCCAACCAGCAGCCCCTCCACATGGAGCCCACCAGCTCTTGGCACCCACCCCCCGCCTTCCCCTCAGTAGGTCTTTGGGATCCTCTCGGGGGCGGCCCGTCTTCCTGGCCCGTCCTCTCCGCCCCCCCAGACACCTGACACTCCCCACCTTCTGGCTCTGGCCCGGCACAAAGGCCCCGGTGACCTGGGGAAGCGCCCAGGCCCAGGGCAGGCGCGCCCGGGCCGCACACATGGCGGGGCGACGACAGCATGGCCTGGCCGGGCCTGCCACCCACGCCCACTCCGCTCACTACCTCTGTCCCCAGGCTTTGTGCCGGTCAGCAGCGACACCTGCCTCGTGGCCGTGCCCGGGCCCGTGCCCAGTCAGCCCTCCTGCCGTGAAGGAGCCACCCCGTTGCCGGCTGCCTTCACCTCTGAGGCCACCCACTTCAAGCCCATTGTCCTCGCACACGACGCCAGGTGAGTGTCCCCCACTCCGGAGCCAGCGGGTTCCACGCACCGGCGGCTCCTCCTGAGAGCGTCCCTTCTCTCTCTCTGCAGTGACCAGCTGGCCCTGAGCTTGGGACCAGCAGAGAAGCTCAAGGACAGGCGCCGTCAGCCAGACAGGGAAAGTGAGAGGACGTCCTCCCCCGAGGCCTGCGCCGTGGCCTCCAGCCTGAAGTCGCCTGACCAGCCAGTGCCTCATCCAGGGCCACAGGGAGCAGACCCAGAGCTTCTCAGGGAGTCAGTGCCACGAGGCTCAGCCCAGGGGTGCTTCGGCCTGCCACCCCCGGCCCCAGAGAGCCAGCTGAAGGGGGCATCACGGGCGACTCCCAGCTCTCCTACTCCCACCTCACCCCGGAAGGCCTCAGCACTGTCCCTGGAGCGAGGGCCAGATGGGCCGACCCCACCTGGAGTCAATTCTGGGGGCCCCGAGCCCACCTCAGCCCTCCGAGGCCCACACCACCCGCCCAAGCCGCCCCGGAGCAAGTCCTCGGAGCATGCAGGCCAGAAACCAGAGAGCCCCCAGTCCGCCTCCCAGGGCCCCTCCCTGGCCAGATTGCGTCCAGACAGTCCCAGGGGTACCCCAGTTGAACAGCACGGTGACCAGACCCCAGACTGTGTCCCTGAGAGTCCCCAACCGGCAGACCGAAGGCCGTGTCCATCCGTCACAGACACCTCACCACTCCCAAAGAGGACAGCCTGCCCGTCGCTGCAGGAGGCCACGCGCCTCATCCAGGAGGAGTTTGCCTTCGATGGCTACCTGGACAATGGGCTGGAGGCCCTGATCATGGGTAGGTGGGGGCCTCCCCAGAGAAACCTCAGGACCGGGGAAGGGTTGCAGGGCTGGGGCAAGACACAGCCCTTCTGAGGCGGTCAGTTGGAGGGGCGTTCCGGACAACCCCACCCTCGGCCCCACCTGCCACCCAGCCCTCCCCGGCTCCTGAGACCAGCCTCATCCATTTTTTTTTGAGTTGGAGTCTCACTCTGTCGCCCAGACTGGAGTGCAGTGGCCGCTCCCGGCCACCGCAGCCTCGATCTGCTGGGATCCTGCGATCCTTCTGCCTCAGCCTTCCAAGCAGCTGGAACTACAAGCACATACTACCACGCCCAGCTAGTTTTTGATTTATTGTAGAGATGAGGTCTCATCAAGTTGCCCGGGCGGGTCTCAAACCCGCGGGCTCAGGCAATCCATTCACCTCAGCCTCCCAAAGCGCTGGGATGACAGGCTGAGCCACCAAGCCCGACTCCATTTTATCAATCAAGTAACCCAGAAAAAGCGGTTTTGCCCACCATTTATCTGTCCCTATCATTTTGCAAAACCAGGGGAGTATATTTTCGCCTTGAAAGACCTCACCTTTGCCACTTTCTGTGGTGCCATTTCTGAGAAGTTCTGTGACCTCTACTGGGATGAGAAGCTGCTACAGAATCTCTTTGAAGTGGTGAATGGGCGGGCTTCGCCCTCCCAGAGGTAAGTACCCCCAGTCCGCATGGCCAGGCCTTGTCAGCCTTGCATCCCTGCCCACCCCCCAGTGCCACTGCAGGGTAAGCGCCACTGTCTGGACTCCTGAGTCCCACCACCTCCTGCCGTCCCTCAGCATCCACCTTGCCACCTCCTCCGGGGTGGCCACGCACCAGGAACAGGATGGGTGGGGGAGTTTCCACAGTCCCTCTCCTTGGGCCTGAGGCCCACTCACAGCGTGTTCACTGGACACCAGGCTCCTTCTGGAAGGCAGAAAGAGCTTGTGGGAGCCGGGCTCGGTGGCTCAGCCTGTAATCCCGCGCCTTTGGGAGGCTGAGGTGA